GTCAAATCTACTAACCAAGCTTTTCTCCAATGGTGGCTAGGTTAGTGTTTTGAGATGAAGCAAAAATGAAAAAGATGAAGATGGAAATGGTGAGTGGAGGATCTAGTATTCCTCCATTCATTATGTGCTCTAACATTACCTCACACACACACACAATGCAAGACTAAATTGTGAGCCTACACTTATCACAAATCAATGGCTCCTTCATAGGCTTAATTCTAAACCTACACTTGTCAACCATCTAAGCCAACAAGTGCACCAATCATAGGTCAATAAGTGGGTGAATCTCCACTCTCCAAATGTCAAGAGATTATACATTCAAGTCATTCCACCCATTGCCAACAAGTGGCACCATGAGAATGTGACACTTGTCACATTTTTTAAAAATTACAAAAAGGTCATTTTTCAAAATATCTTACAAATAAAATTGCAAAATGGTTCCTAATACGAAAATTAATTATTTTACATAATTACACTAAAACCCCAAAAATCAAGAATAATTATAATAAAGTATGTATTTATGCCTTTTATGAAAAAGTAAGTAATTAGAATGTATTTTCTACAAAAGTAAAAATTCTAATATCATGGAAATCAAATATCATTAATGCATGCAAAACCGGAATCAAATCCGAATACAACAAGTGAGGTTATGCAAGGAAAAATAATAAACGGAAAAAGACAAAATAGGAAAAAGACGAAAAAAGAAAATCACTGAAAAAGGAAAAGGAAGAAAAAGACCGGGTCATTACATTCAAGATCATATTAAATTTTCGATATAAAGAGTAGTCATATGAATAACCTGAATTAACCCGAAATTTTAACTCGAAATCTAAGCTCGAGTTGCAAGCCCGAATTTAAAAGTAGAAGATATGTTGGGTTCGGGTTGAGTAGTTAAAGTTAATGATAGGGTTAGGGTTGAGCTTGGGTTTAACATTTCATATGGTGGGTTAGGCTCAATTTATACTTCAAACATGCTCGAGTTGCAACCCTAATTGTCAATGGGGTGGGTTAATATTAAATATAAATTTAGTAGACTTGGACTTATTTGTGTGGACTAATATTTGGGTCGCTTAATACTAGTAATTTTTTTTTTATTTTTTATTTTTTATTTTTGTGGGGTGGGGCTCAAGCCCACCCCTAGATCCGCCCTTGCATACTTGCATGTCTGTATTAAATATTGATACTCCTTGAATACTCATGATGACTACGTGTTCGATCCTTTCTAAATAGCACGTATTTAATACTTCGAGCATGTATTTGACGTTTCTAATATACTTCATAACACATTTTAAATAAGTTTTAAAGATTAAAACATAACTTCTCTATCAATAATATTATAATATAATTATTAAAAAAAAGTTCAATTTTTAAAGTATTGAGATATATATCACAATTTATTTGAAAAAAATATTAAGATATATCATGGTTTAGTACAAAATTTATCTATCTAAAATATGCAATAAACTCTTATTTTGTTTGTTAATCATACCGCTTTATAAAAAAAATGTTAGTAAGTATTATTTAAATTTATCAATCATGCATATATATGTATATATATTGATTTTTATACATATCTAAGTTTATAAATATACATATATTGTTGTGTTATTGCATATCCTTATCATATTCTTTAAGAATTTATTGTATCATGATATCCATATCATATCATCTGTATATATGCTTCATAGGTGATGATTTAGAGTCTTAGAGATGATTGGGGATAATTGTGTTTATGTGTTATGAAATCCTTATTTATTTATATTTAATTGTTTCTTTATCTAAAACATATTAATAATTATATTTAGATTCATATTATTATAAAAAAATTTGATTAAAAATATACTTTATATATATATATATATATATATATATAATTTTTTATTTTTTATCCCATTCATACGATAATTGTATTTTTTTAAAAAAAATAAATTTATCAAAATATTGTAGTAGGTGTATCAATTTGTATCTTGTATCTTTGCTTCATAGTAAGATAATAAACTTCCAAATGATGAACATGTTCTTTTTGAATATAATGGTACAATTGTTTACAGTTTGTAAAATGGCAGAAAAATATTATTTGATCGACTCCGGGTATGTCAATCAATCGGGTTTCTTGGCGTCAATGGTACCACTTCCAAAAGTATCGTAGAGCTTCTCGATAACCCTGAGGTAGAGAGAAAATATACAATTACAAACACTCGTCTTTGCGAAATATCATTGAGCGTTGTTTTGAGATGCTTAAGATGAGATTCCCCATCTTGAAGCAAATGTCCCCATATAAGTTTAAAGCTCAGGTTGTTATTGTTTTAGCTTGTTGCACACTTCACAACTTTATAAGAAATGAGGCGCAAGTAGATGCAATATTTGATGATGCAACTGTGGAGGCGATGATAGATGAAATATTTGAAGATGATAATGACAATGTTCAGGTTAATGTGTCGTAGTCTCGCTTGCGACCAATGGATATTTTACGTAATCATATTGCAAATAATATATGGATTGCAATTCACCACCCTTGAAATTGCATTTAGATGTTTATCATGTTTGGATAACTGTAATAACTACTTTACTTTAATTATTTGTTAGTATTTGGATAGCTGTAATAACTACTTTATTTTAACTCTCTTTTACGATTTCGATAAATGTAATAACTTGTGGTAACTATATTTAAACTTTTTTTTTATGATTTGAATAACTGAAATAACTTGTATATGCAGTCATATATGAGATACAAGGCGACGAGCTACCTTGTGCATGTGGAAGGGGTCGAATGAATCTTTATACGGCTGGAACTTTAAAGAATTATAGACGTTCATTCTATAGATGTCCAGTTTGGGGGTATACAATTTTATTTGCATTAATAATTTTTTATACATACATCTTATTGTCACAGTGGCGTTTATAATAATATACAAGTCTTTGATATTTTAGTCACATGCTCGTGCATTTATATGATTGGATGACATGCACCAACGTCTGTAAGTGGGTAATTGTGTGGAGTAAGAGTTAAATGATGTAGTTGCTGTTATGCAAGTTCAACAAAATCGACAAAACTACATTATCTATGGTGGTTGTTGTTGTCTTACTATAACTATATTATTTATGTTATTGCTTATATTGTTGTTGTTGGTTATTGTGACTGTTGATAAATGATGTAATATATTAGTTCAATTTTACTTCATGAACTTTTATTGTGCCTCTTGACAAATGATGTAATATTTATGAAAGTCATGTTTGTAATATCTTCAAACTCATGTAATGTGTAATATGTTGAAAGTTTATTTTAGTTCGATATTGAAACAATGTCTTCTACAATTGTCAAAACAATATGCTGCATTAATAGGTTTTACAATTTAGAATATATTTTATTGGTTTTTATAGATTCGTTAATAAACTAAAATAATATACACACACACACACACACACACACACACACACATATACATATATTAAAAGTTATATTAATTGTATATTAAAATTATACAATAATTAAATTTTACTTTATATTTAGTAAAGTTATAAATAATGTATTGATGAAAACATTATTTACCAAACATATTTCATGTTTTTATTTTATTGATTATGGTTACACTTTCACTCTGCCAAACATATTTTGTTCTTATATTTCTTGAAACAAAATACCTTACCAAACATGTTCTACCATGTTTCTGTTCCAAAATTCTCATTGCAAATTTTCGTCGCTAAACATGTTTTGTTCTCATCTCAGAATAAAATATTACAAAACACTTAACCCGTCTTGCCTTTCGTATCTGTTGGGGTAGTCAGCCAATCCATTTTGTTCTGTTCTAGACTAAAACAAAATACTACAAAACACAACACTTTCCAAACGGGCAATGTGGTGTTCTGAGATGAGAACAAAACATATTTGGGACGAAAATTTGGAGTGAGAATTTTGGAATAGAAATTAAATTTTTTTTTGGATGATTAAAATAAATTAATTACAGAGCTTGATTAGTTTGTAAAACAAGAATTACAAGGCTTGATTAGTTGATTTGGAAAAAAAATTAAAACAAAACCCATACACACAGGTTAGCAGTTGCAGAGAGAGAGGGGGCAAGCTTGAGAGTTGAGAGAGAGGCTGAAGCTTGCGAACGGCGAACCAGAACTGGAACAGCAGCTGATGGAAACTGAAAGATATGGATTTTGATTTTTTGAACAATCTGAAATGATATGCCGATATGGGGGTTTTGATATAGGTAATAGGTTTTGAACTTTTGATTCTTGCAGACCGATACATAAACTGAAATATATGGGTTTTGAACTTCTGATTCTTGTAGATTTTGTAGTTTGCAGTTGCATAGAGAGAGAGAGGGGGCAAGTTCAGAGTTGAGAACGAGAATAGAGATGGAGGCGGGTTTTGAACTTTTGATCCTTGTAGATTTTGTAGTTTGCATTTGGAGAGAGAGACATGGAGACTAAGGCAATTGGGAGGCTGAATAGAAATGGATTTGCCTTAAAAATGGATTTGCAGAGTTGAGAATGAGAATAGAGATGGAGGCGTTTGGGAGGCTGAAATGATTTGCCCAAAAAAAAATTTATTATTAACCCAGCTACAGTAAAAAAAATGGGCCTAGAACAACATAGAACACCAAATTTTGTTTCAGCTTTTAGGCCAAATAATTGATTTATTTTGAAAGTATTCTGGTACTGTTGAAAACAAAACAAGCTGGCCCAAACATGTTTTGTTCTTAAAATGGACTATTATAGCGGGTCTGGAGCATTACAAAACACATGGGAACACTTTCCAAACAGGCACTAAATAGTCTTGACAGTTTGGTAAATTATTTTATGCTAACCGGGATTTTGACCATATATATTGGAAATTTTGCCAAGATAAATAGTAACAAATATTTGGAAAAAATAAAATTCCTTAGATAATTAACCAATTTATTCCTAATTAAATGGGAGGACAAATTCGTACTTCAATTCAAAAGGGTAATATCGGTAACCCAACCCATAAAGGGTTTAGAGAGGGTTTGGCCAAACAAGTCACAAAAATCCCTGCCTGCCTTCCTCTCCAAGTTCATCTATGGCGGTTCACACCGGTTAAACTAAACATAAAACTAGGTCAAATAGAGACACAAAGGACCAACCTTTTGCAGTCGATGCACAAAATCAGTCCCCCAATGTTGAAGGCCTTATCGTCTTCGTGTTTACAAGGAGGTCGATTTCGCACTGCAACATCGACTTTACATTGTACCATTCGTCATGGAAATGAGTTGAACTCGCCGCTACTCCGAGCCTTGGGTTCACTCAGAACCTCGAATCGGCAAAACCCTAATTTATGTCGGAGAGTGTTTTTCTGTTCGGATTCTAAAGATGGGTCCGACTCCACGGCCGAGGCCGGGACCGAGCTTAAGAAGGTCGAAGTCGAAGGCGAAGAGACTGATTCGAAATCTTCATCGGCCATAGTTCCTACCATGTTCAGACCTGAAGATTATCTTACGGTTAGCTTCACTAATATATGTATATAAATGTATATCTATTCTTTTAATGTTATGTTTTATGTTGGTCTGATATAAAATTATCTCAACTTTCAAGTTAGTCGAATGTAAAAAAATAAAAAAAGAAAAAGAAAAAAGCAATATTCAAAATTATGATTTTTATTTTTATTAAATTTACACAACCTAACCTGGGCTAGTAATCTTTTCCATTTTCTGTTACCAAAATGTTTTTTAAACTTTGGTTTTTAGTCCGAGGTAGTTGGTGGAGGCCACTGAGTTAATCTTTATAATCAATCATGTGTGTTTGATTCTAAATACTATCTATTTGTGTATTGCATTGGTGTTATTTTAGAAACAATCTTCTTGTATGAATGACAAAGGTATATTGGTTACCTGTTCTACAATCTACACAAATGGAGTCTGTTTTGGTAGTTCAGAAAGAAAAGTTTGTAGCTTTGACAAAAGGCTTTGTGCTACTTTAGGATGATACTCTCATGGCATATTAATATGATATTGTTATCCATCTGTATATGTTTATTTTTTGAAACAATGTATGCGAAGAAATTTAATTGGGCTGAAGTGGCTGTTATAGTAATACTTGCTCCTGAACTTTTTTTTATGTCAATGTTGATCAGTAATGGACAAAGATTGTGACTTGGGACAGCTTTATGAAAGTTCATTCATTTGGGTGGATGGAGAGATATTCTGGTCATCTTTGAGTTGAATCTGATTCAATATCTTTTCTATGGGAAAAAATTTGTCAGTAGGAACTAGAAAAAAGTATGAGACATCTTTAAGCAATGATAAAGGGAAAAGAAAATTGAGGAAAAACATAAGCAATAATGAAAACAATATTACAGAACAAGAACAAATGCTTTTGAAGTAATATGTAATTCCCAAAGTTGTGCATGGTTAATGCTCCCATCTTCATTAGAATCTGATAATTAATTTAAGTCTCTAGGCTACTGATCAATGATCATATCTTTTGGAAATTTTTGGGATACCTGTTTTTTTAGAAGTAGAGAAGTGAGAGAGGTTTACTTCTTTATTCTACACTCTGGAAGTGCTGGATGTTGGATAAAAGGTCTAGAAAGAGATGGGAAAATGCATTTCCTTCTTGATGTTTTTATTTATTTATGAAACGTTTGATGTTCCATCATCCCAGTCCTTGTAAATATGCAACTATGGGATAAAGTAGCACATTTTCATGATTGAGCTCCTCTTTAGCCACTAGTTCTTGAGAAGCAGCATATATAGAAGGCTATGCTTCTTGGAGGAAGTATTGGCCTTGCTTCAAAGGATGGATAATATTGAGGATTTAATAACAAAAGGAGCTCCAAAGAGTTTGGTGATAGTGCCACATTTAAGCCTAAACAAATGTTGAAAGCAAGGAAAATGTATAGAAACAGAGATATCACTTCAGTACAATTCTTTCTGGCATTTGCTCTTTTATTCTGCCGAATGTTGCTTCTGGTAAAGATAGAAAATTCATAATCATAGGCAATGCTTTTTCAATAGAACTTGACGTGTCTTCCTATTTGCTGAATTAAAATATCAGCTGTTAGGAAAAGTTTGAATCATCGTAACAGTTTGGTGTTGAGATGGGAATACGTAATATGTATAGCAATACACAATGTAGTTATACAAGGAAATGCACAGTGCAAATGGATATTACTTGCAGCCCTCAAAAATCCATAGTTGAGAAATTAGAATTTCCATCATCATCATATTCAATCAATTCAATCAGAGCATAAATACCATGATTACAAATTCTATTTCCAGCATTCCTTGAAGTGGGAGAGGGGAAATTCTTCTATTCAAATCTATCTGATTAACTATCAAATAATTGTTGTTTTGGGGGGGGGGGGGAGGTGGTCAATTGCTTTCTTTCGTTGTTGCAGGTAGTTTAAATTTTTGGTAATTTTTATTTTAGTGTGCTCTTTTCTTTACTTGAGCAGGTTTTGGCGTTGCCATTGCCACATAGACCATTATTTCCAGGATTTTACATGCCAATTTATGTGAAGGTACGTTATTTCATCAGTCTGCATTTAGTTTTTTATTATTATTTATTTTTATTATTATATTATTATTTTTGAGAATCTTATCTCTGAGTTTATTAATTATAAGACAGTAGTATTTTTTTTTTTTGGTTTCTACTATTAGTGTATACTCCATGCTACCTGATTTGTTTGTTCTACTGATGACCTCTAATTCTAAACTGGTTAAAAAAAGCCGCTGGTGCCACTTTTGTAGGACTGCTGAAGGATAAAGTGTTGGACATAAGTCACATAATATGGGTGCAGAGTTCCTTAGGAGGCACATTTAATACCCAACTATCTCAATGAATTTGGAATTTAAAGTTTAAGGCAGTATAATACCATAAATAGAAGAAACTTTAGTTATGCTTTGTGTTATTTTGCGTCATTGATCTTTTCTTTTCCAGTTTGAATCGCACAATGGTTTTAGTTTTTTCTGAAAATCACTTCTTAAATAAGCTCTGAGTTCCATTGGCTCATGAAAACTTTAAACAATCTACTTCAACACGGTGAAGATTTTCTATAATAGGTTAGGTTGATGGTTCTGTGATCAATGTGCTTTGTGATTTTGGCCTCATCCACTGCGAGTGATTTGACTAAATATAAAAGTAAAAGAAAAGTCATGGCTAGTTGCAGTTTTTTTTCCTCCCATAAATGAATATTTTGGTGGAGAAATGTTGTGTTTATGGATTCTTTTGCCTGTTTACTTACTCCCAAACAGGATCCTAAATTATTAGCAGCCTTAGTTGAAAGTCGAAAAAGACAAGCTCCATACGCTGGAGCTTTCCTTGTTAAAGATGAACCAGGGAGTGATGCTGGTGTGGCTTCTGGTTCGGACACAGAGAAAAACGTATATGAACTCAAGGGGAAACAGTTATTAAACCGCCTTCATGAAGTTGGTACACTGGCCCAGGTATCTAAAATTTTGCAATTGTTTGACTAGTATGTGGCATTAAATTAATAGATTATCTTAAAATGTGGTGTAATGGATGCCTATTCACGATTAATGCTTTTTAATCTTTAATGTGATAAACCAGATTACAAGTATTCAAGGAGACCAGGTAGTCCTCATTGGTCATAGGCGACTGCGAATAACAGAGATGGTGAGTTGGAGTTCTGCTTACTGTCATGAGAACTTAACACTTAAATTCTTATATCTCTATACATGCATTTTGTTGAACTTTTCTAATTTTTTGCAAGATATACCTAATTTCTAAATGATGCAAAAATTCCTAGACTAAAATAACTGCCTTGTGTTCAGGTCAGCGAGGATCCTCTCATGGTCAAAGTCGATCATCTCAAGGCATGCCAGTAGTGTATTTATAAATTTTATACTGGGTGGTTATCTTTAAGCTCAATTAACGGTTCACTGTAGGTAGTAGATTACTTTGCAATGCTTTCTATCATTCGGCTGTTCTCTATGTTGCAGGATAAACCATATAATAAGGATGATGATGTTGTAAAGGCAACATCATTTGAAGTTATATCAACCCTGAGGGATGTTTTGAAGACAAGTTCCCTTTGGAGAGATCATGTTCAAACGTACACGCAGGTGTAGTCCTCTTCACAGGTTTTTTCGGGTTGTTTTCCTTTATGTTGAATAGTTTTAGTTTTTATTAATATTAAATCTTCAAATTTTTTGAAATGTGTTGTGTTTACTGGAACATGTTTTTTTTTTTTTTTAAGTGAATCTCTTAAGTTACGAGCTCCCTCAGAGTTGGGTGGAGTTATTTATTGCATAGTATCAATTGCTTGGTATATATGCTTTCACAATATTAGTAGATAGATAAATAAAAACCAATCTGTTAAAACCTGTGTCATGGTGCTAATTTTAATCAAATATGATAATTTCTTTTTTGATTCTAAAATCACATTTGTATTCAATGTTTCTAGTTGCTTTAGTTCTTGTGAAATCAGAAATGAAGAAAGAGCAAGAGGATTATGAGGAAGGAGAAATGATAATGTTTGTGAAAGATTCGGTTTGTATGACAACCTGCTGTTTTCTGGTCTCTTAGATCACAGGATGCCAACCTTAGATACATACAAATGAAGCTAAAAATTGGAACAGTGGAAGAATTGAATGTAAACTGCACAAGTAAATTAGAATGAGAAGTTTATAGCCTTGGAAAGGAAGTTTTGATGCATATCTGCCTAATTTTTAAGTGGTCTTCTTCTTAGCGGCTCTAGGGATTGTGTAGAGATCTGGTGGTGAGTCTATTGACCTGGAACTGTCATAACATCATACTTTATGATATTTGCCTAATGTTTTATCTATATACCTGCAAACAGATTTGTGGTATTGCGACATTAGCACCTCAATTAAAACCAATCTTAAGATTCCCTAAACATATTGCTTCAACTACCTGGGAAAGCATCTCACTAAGAGCTTCCATCATTAGGATGAAAATGTACAGAAAGAGGTTCCCCTTCTTGGGACCTCTCAAACTTCTGAAAAAACCCCGTGGTGATTCATCTGAAGAATAAAACAGACTGCCATGTAGGTAGACGCCTCTATTCACTTCCTCCGCTTGTATGCAAAAACCATACGTTCCTTAAAATTTGGTATAAAGCTTAAATGCATATGCTCACACACCACCTTATAAAAGAAGAAGAAAAAAAAAGAAGCCGCAGAATAAAATGAGATAATTTCATCATATTATTTTTTATTTTCTTAATGACCTGAACTTTTGAGAAATTTGTTGTCGCAAGGAAAACAAATGGAGTGATAGCGTCAAAAGAGTTCCCAACAAAAGAACTATGTTTTTGGTCTTGAAGCTTAGTGAGAATTGTGATGTTTTGAAGTACATGGAAACATATAATCCTAAGCCATAGACTAGCTGCTGGGAAAGAAGTTAATATGTGTGCTCTTCCCCTATTTTATAATGTTAATATATATACTACGCAGCCTATCTGGTTACTATGTTTTATTAGGCGACCTCACCTCATGTGCAGAGTGCAAACAATTGGATTTTTACATTTGGAGCTGTAGTTTTTCTCTTTATGTAGATAATGCGTTCCTACCTCCATGCGAGGATATACTCAATGTTTGAGTCCCCAATTGAGTAAGCTTTGGATATTTTGTGTTAAAGAAATGAATGTTTTTTAGCAAGAAAGTGTGTATTATACATGTACCTGTGTAGTGATGTATTTTGTTAACCAATGACCATAATCAATTTGATTGACTTTTATATTCTGATGATTAAAGTTCTTGTTCTTTCCTTTCCCTTCAATTTTTGCAGCATATTGGCGATTTCAATTATTCAAGGTTAGCAGATTTTGGAGCAGCAATATCTGGTGCGGAGAAGTCACAGTGCCAACAAGTGCTTGAAGAGCTAGATGTAAGGAACATGTTACATATCTAGATTTTGATCAATGAACTTTTTTCCCTCTTTCTTTCTCCTTGAAATAAGATTCTGGTCGATTGCTTAATTTCACAAGTTCAGAGTTCATTAATTTAAGCCTTGTTTTGTTGAACTGTTATAGCATGACTTTATTTGAGAGAATTTTCTTCTACTCTTATTGTTTGCCTGAGGAAACTATTAGAGTATTAGGCATTAAATTACGAGCATTGATGAGCATAAGAGATAGGTTTGGAGTTATTTATTGGGCACAGGTTCTAAGTAAATAAAAAATAAATAAATAGATTTCATTCGGTTTATCATCTTTGAGCTTATGAGATGCCATTTCAAGCATGGGTATTCCTTGGAAGTGTTTTTCGTATGATATGTCTATATTGATGGAAACATCTCTTCTTTGGTTGTTAGGAGTTGGGATCTCATTGTTGTTTTATTAGCTCTGTGTTTATTGCTAAGTTACTGCTGGAATGAAAGCTATAAGGGCATTTGTCCGGTTAGGAAGATGAAGTAAGAACTGACTTCTAGCTTACAAGATGCATTTTTGAGTATGGTGTTTGATGGAAGAGAGTGTTCTTTTCTTTTGTTGTGAGGACTTGGGGACTCTGTGTTGTTTTATTAGCTCAGATTTCTTCTGCTAATTTACTGCTGGATGATATAAAAGCTATAAAGTCGTTTGCCCAGTCAGGAAGATGAAGCCTGAGCTGGTGTTTGGGGATTGACTGGATGACTCTCTCTCTTTGTGGTGAAAGAAGAAGAAGGGAGATTTTTTATTTTTTGATAAGTGAAGAACAAGGGAGATTGTGGTGGTCTAGAATATTTACAAGGTCAATGACTTAAGTTGGTTGGGGCAATGGAGAGTCTTCCTTGGCAGTTAGCTTTAGAACGTAGTTCTACAGAGGGTGCTATCTGAAGGAGTGAAGTAATTGGAAATTATTATGGAGGGAAGGCTATAGAGTTGAAGCGTGAAACATCCCTTTTGTGAGGAAGGGGATGGCAATTGAAGTAATGCGTCAAATGGATCATCTCAAGCCAAGAGGATTGACCTAAATATTGTTTAGTGCAATGTTAGTTGACAAGTGTGAAAAATGCGGTTTCGGGTTTTAGAGCAGCCGCTCTTTTGCAAATAATGCCAAAGGTTAGCCTGAGAGGCTTCGAATCGTATCTTGTGCATTGGTTGAATGCATGGTTGGTCATTATTATTTTCCGTATATATATTCGAAAGTTCAAACAAGCACACACACCCACTCACTATATGTATTATGTCTACACTGAGACTTGAACACTCAACCTCCCCCATTTGGGGAGGAGAGTTTATACCATCTAGGCTAGTGCCACTAGTTATTATTTTCCATATTGCTGGAGATAGAATGATGAAAGGGACTGGTATGGGATGAACTGATTCGTTAGAGGAGTTGGATTGAATTATTTGCTGTGGGGTCTTTCCTTAAAGCTCTTAGGGAGGAAATGAAGGTGTTTTTCTAGTGAAGCACAACCGAAACAAGTTTGCAGCCCTGTTATGTATGGTCATTTGGGATAAAATTCTTTTCAGAGACCACCTTATTAGTAAAAATTTGGTGATTATTAGTAGATGTTGTATAGGTGAAGCAGTGGGAGAATTGTTTATGTTTTCTGCTTTTGGTATCTGTTCAGTGTTTTATCTGGTGGATGATCTTCGGTGGAAGTACGTGACGGGTGGCTGAACCCTATCCTGCCCTGTTTAAAAATATCATGTCCCAACCCCGTTGAAGACTTGTCCCGTGAGGGGGCATGGTATGAGAGCAAGGAAGGTCCTGTGTCACGGTCACCTTGATTATTAAATTGAAACATGTGTTGGACCAAAAGAAGGCCACACATGAGGGTAGCGTGTTGAAGGATTTTAAATATTAAATTTTAAGCTTTTAGAGTAGATGGTTGTTAACTTATGTTATATAGATCTACATATAGAAATATGTGTGTAGCTATATGTAGAGACAGGATTCTGATCTGAGTGTTTTTATGGAGATCAGAAAGTTGATCGGTGATTGATATCATGATCTGATCAGATAGTTCTCCATAGATATGGTATTGTGTGTGTGTGTGTAGATATATATATATATATATATATATAGAGAGAGAGAGAGAGAGAGAGAGAGAGAGAGTTGTCCATAGATATTAAGATATATATATAGAGGGACTAAAAGGTTGGAATGGCGCGGCTGGAATAGTTTATCGAAGGAGTATGGCCATTAGGCTGTGTGGTAGAGCGGGGAAGAACACAACAAACCCAAGTTCAAAGAACTCTCTAGAGAAAAGTAAAGATGTATTGCGTATATATAAAAAATATATATATAAGGGTGTTTAAGGAATACAAAATTAAAATGAGGGTATATATGTAATTTTATATATAATCCAGGTAGGGCGGGGCTGGTTATCTAAATATCTGTGCTTGCCCGGAACCTGGTTTGGGTTAAACATTATGATCCCTGGTTGCTCGTAGGTTTTGGAAGGATGGGACTTGGCATTGACTCGTAGGTTTTCTCGTCTGTTAATAATTACCGCAACTAGGCAAGCTATGGTTGTTGACTATTATCGGCTTGATAATGGGAGGAGGACTTGGGACGTGCTGTTTCGTTTCATGATTGGGATCTTATGGAGGTTACGGAGTTCTTGGCTTTGCTCTATAGTCAAGTGGTGGAGGGTGTGGGTATGGATGAGATGGTTTGGGTGGGTACCCCGAGAGGGGCTTTTGAGGTTGGGTCTTTTTATCAGAGGTTGTTAGAGACCACACATGCTTCTTTCCCGTGGAAGGCAGTTTGGAGGACGAACGCCCCATTGAAGGTGGCCTTCTTTGCTTGGACAGCCGCACTTGGTAGAATCCATCCCCTTGACAATCTTAGGAGGAGACGTCACGTAGTGGTGAACTGGTGCTACATGTGTAAGCAGTTGGAACTCCCCATTGAAGGTGGCCTTCTTTGCTTGGACGGCCGCACTTGGTATTATCCTTACCCTTGACAATCTTAGGAGGAGACGTCACGTAGTGGTGAACTGGTGCTACATGTGTTAGCAGTTGGGAGAATCTGTGAACCATCTTCTTCTTCACGGCCCAGAGGGATATTTGGTCTATGTTCTTGGTTGTGTTTGGCATGGCCTAGGTTTTTTCGGAATCCATTGTGGATTTGCTTGAGACTTGGTGAGGGTGTATAGTGGAGAGCCTAGTCAAAGAGGCTTGGAGGGCCACTCCCATTTGTTTATGGCGCGAGATGAGTAGAAGAACTTTTGATGGAGAGCAATCTCCAATTTGGTCATCAGATACAACATGCTCTCTTCTTTATTTTTTTTGGGGTTTTGGGCGTAATTGTAAATCTTTGGGGGATCTTTTGGAGTTTGTGGATAGCTTGAATTTTTAGTGTCACCTTGGGCGTCCTTTGTATTCTTTCGGGTTTGCTCCCCTTCTTGAGTTTCTTTAATGATATCTTACTTATATAAAAAAATATATATATAATCTCATACCACCCGTGACCCGTTTAATGGCATACAATCCCGGCCTATTTGGAGTAGGACGGGGTTGGAATCCGCTGGGCTGGGCCAAATTGCCACCGTTTTTCATTATACAATGGAAGGAACATGATTGCAGAATGTTTGAAGAGGCTGAATTCCCCTCTATGGATTGGAAAGTTTTTCTTGAAGTATTATTTATCTATGTTGTTGGCCATGGGGAACACCAACAGAAAGTTGTAACAGTAAGATTTTATTCATTAATCATTTAGTGGTGGGTGAGCAATCCCTTAATAGATTTTGCATGGATCAGAAGAATGCTGGGACTGTATCCGGTACGATTTTAATCGTTAATCAGTTAGTGGTGGGTGAGCAATCCCTTGATAGATTTTGCATGTATCAGAAGAATGCTGGGACTGTTTCCATCTTTTACATCTCTTAAATTCATAGAATCTGTCCTTTTGTTTTCACTCCCTTTGGAGTGAGTGAGGCTATGTCGTCATTAAAGACTTGAATTTGTTGGATTCTTGTACGTGGAGTATGATTTTATGAAATTATTATTATTTTTTGGTGCACATGGGGCTTGTCCCTTCTATATTTTCTTTCGAAAATAATATATATCTATGTATATGTACAGAAAAATCATATTCCACAAAGCATTTATAAATATATTTAGATATTTATAGATATAAAGAAAAAGTTTGTTGTATAAAGCACAATGCAGTGGCATAAATGATCACTGTGCTATGCAATGTGTTTCTTACATTTCACTGCAAAACGATGTTCCTCGACATATATATATATATATTTGTTGTTGTTTTAGAAATAGCATTGAGAAAAACTATAGGTTAGTCTCTTTTTGGCCCTATTATTATACTCCTATCCTTTTGGACATCATGTAAAAAGTTTCAACCCGATGGTTAATTTAGAATGAATCCTGTAAATAAATTTATTGGCAAAAACTACTTGTTAACAATGAGGGGAATAGTCTTCAGAGACCAATTCACTTAATTTTTTTTTTTTTTTGTAATTACTTATGTATAGAAGGATTAGGCATCCTTCAACAAGAAACAAAAAAGAAAAGAGACAGAGAGATCTGGCCTCAACACAACTGAAAAAAATCTCGTAAAAATGACACTAAAGGAACAGCTTATCTAGTTTAAATGTATGCGCAACAGGTATATTTGCAGAGATATCTGTTTATTGTTTGGTTTACCTTTGATTGTGAGTATGATTGGAAACCTTTCCAAGCAATCATTTTTTATTTAGTGCGGAATGTAATACCAATATTTACTCTATAAAAAATGCATTATCATATTTTTTTTATGTGATTATAATATTGTATTCTTGTAACTCTGCAATTTTTCGAACTCAGGTCTATAAACGATTGAAACAGACTTTGGAATTAGTGAAGAAAGAAATGGAGATCAGTAAGATTCAGGTATGTTACAGCTAGTGTTTTTTTTTTTATGTTAGAGCTCTTTGTTTTAGTTGATTGCACATTTGATTTTTTTACCATTCTGGATCTTATTTTAGGAATCAATAGCAAAAGCAATTGAAGAAAAAATAAGTGGTGAGCAGCGCCGTTACTTGTTGAATGAGCAGCTTAAGGCCATAAAGAAGGTGTGTGGCTGTATTGTTCTATTCTTTCATGTTACATGTTTATGTATCTATGTACAATATTGTCATTGCATCTCCACAAGCTGTGTTCAATATGCTATTAAGTAATCTATTCCAACGAGCTTGATGAATCTTTAAGTTGGATTTTAGATCAAGTTCCTTTTCTTCTATTTTAACTTTTTAAGCCTTATTGATTGTTGATACATATATTCATTTTCCTTGTTGCAGGAACTGGGGTTGGAGACAGACGACAAGACAGCACTTTCTGGTTAGTTATCTTTTAATTTATTTATGTCAAATTTAGTCGATAGTTTAAATTTTCCTTTTCTCTAGGCTGTTGGTACTTGTACAAGAGGTGTCTGCAACACCTACTTGTGTTATTGAGGTCTGATATTGTGTTTTCTAATAAGCGCTTGCAAATAACTGAAGGCCATCCTTTTATTTATAAATGATAATGGACGAAGGTGTCTCGTTTGTTACTTCTATATCATAATGGATGGTTGGGGTGTATGTATTTGAGAGGGATATTGCTACACAAGATAGTGTTAATTTTTGTGTGAAGTAATATGGATTTTAATGATTTTTTGAAGTTAAGACTCCTCTAATACTAACGCCATTCACACGGCGAGCTTGCAATGTGCGGCATGGCAACTAAAGGTGCCTTCCTGGTGTATTTAATTTAATAATCACTCCAAGCTTAAGTTGAATAAATAGTAGGGCTGTCAAACAAAAAACTGCTTGAGCTTGGCTTTTATGGATTTGCTCAAACTCGTTAGTTAATGTAGCCAAGTCGCCCAGAGCTCAATAAAAGTTGGTATATAGAAGTGACCTGTGCTTTGTCAACTCCATACTTCACTTGGCTTGGCTCAGTAACTCTTTATAAGAGATTGGATAGTCTTTCACCTGGTTTTAACTTGGAATGAGAAGTATAGAATACCCGTAGGCTTAGTTCTACAAAATAAGGACAGAGATGTGTACTTGACTTCCTTGACCAAATATATTGGATCTTTTCTTTTTGTGGAAGAAAGTTGAGGACATTTGAGTGATGGAGATTTGTACACGGTTGTATGAACCATTTGTATTAAATATGTGTGTATCCTTTTCTTTCTGGAAGAAAGTTGAAAATGTCCCTTTGTTTGAGAGTTTTTTTATTTTTTATTTTTTATAGAAGGCCTTTGGCAATCGGCATTGTCATTGTTTTCTTATATCCATATTTAAGTGCCATGTTTCTTTTATCCAGTGATTAATTGAGTCAACCTGCACATTTTTGGTTACTTTCTCGAGCTGAGCTTGATCATGGTTGCTGAATTTTTAATGAGCTCATGCCAAACTTAAAACATAGTTTGAGGCCAACCAAGTTAACCTTGAACACCTGATCTGGGGCTTCTTTTATCTTTATACCCCTATAAAAATTGTGTTCTGTCATGGTTAGAACTGCATATCAACTTTTTTGCGAATGAATGCTCCTCTGTTCCTTTTATGCAGCAAAGTTTCGGGAAAGACTTGAGGGCAAGAAGGAGAAATGTCCGCCTCATGTTCTGCAAGTCATAGAAGAAGAACTGACAAAACTGCAGCTTTTAGAGGCCAGTTCAAGTGAATTTAATGTGACACGTAATTATCTTGATTGGTTGACTGCATTGCCTTGGGGGAATTACAGGTTTGTATGTTAGTCTTTTTACACATTCTGTGATAGTCTGCTTGGCGACCTTTTTTAATTTGTTGAAATTTTACTGTTTTCATACTTAAATATAAGTCAAGTATGTAAATGTTTCTATAATGTGTTACTTTGATTAAATTTTAAATACATAGATTGGTTAGATTAATCATTGGCGATTGACCTGCACTTTGTACTTGCAAATTTTAATCATGCTTCAAGATGTTATTCAGCTTCTGTCACAAATTTAGTTAAGAAGTAAGTTAATTATAGCAAGTGGTGAAAAATATGTTATAGACTCTGATACTAAAGTTACAACAGGGACACAGCTCTATTTTGGAAGGGAAATGATATTTTGCACCCCACCTGTTTTAAAATAAATTAAATAAAAAATGACACAATTGTCCTTCAAAGCAGTCTCACACTCCACAATGATCCCATAAAACATTCTTACTCTCTACTTCTCTGTGATAATTATGTCATTTCTATTACTGGTGTAATAAGTGGCGTGCAATGGTATGAAAGTGGAATACAAATATGACATCCTTTTGGAGAATTGGAAATGGATTCTCATTTTTCAAATAAAGATAAAGATTTTAATATACTTATCAAAAATAAATAAATAATGATGTTAATATATTTCTATTATGGTTCAGTTATGGGAGTTTTCTAGGAGTTAGTGGAAATCATTTTCTCAATTGCATTGATAGAACTTCATATATATATATATTTGATAAGTAAGGTTTCATTAAAAGGGGCCCACTTCATATTTTAAAAAACTCACCCTACATCAGTTCCAGTGATAGCTACATTTTCTTGTAATAGAATAAGTTTTATAATTCAAAACTCTTATTACATATGTTTGTTGAACTTTTTTATTTAGAACTTTCTATATGATTTTAGAATTTGAAATATTGCAAGTGCACCTTTTGTAACAAATAAATGGACAATTACAGCTTCATACTTGTTAATTCCGCACTTATGGGTGTAATGCAAATGTCCTTTTGTCTTATTGTTGTGTTGTTTAGTTTGTGAATTAGCAAGTATATGTCCAGTTTTGGTAACAAAAGAAACACATTGTTTTGAATATTAAGGAACTCTGTGGAGTTATTGTACCATAATTGAAAACCCAAAGGAGGAGAAAGAGTCCTCCAAAGCCAATCCCCAGGATCAATGTGATAATCATTTGGAGGTCAAGAACGATAATGTCAAGCATGTTATCACGACCAATCTGCGCAACATCTGTGCACTTCTCTTCATGGGTTCTGCTGTTTCTTTCAAACCATATATTATAAATCCCCTTCGCAAACAAAGCTTGTAAGAGTACAGATTTAGTAGATTTAGTTGTCTGATTTGCCATCTAGATACAGAATGCATCGAAAGTAGGTTAATGGTATCCTCCATTCACCATTCAAGAGTCCGATCCCAGAACTGTTTTGCAAGGGCACCAGAACAACAAATCTTCTATGCTTTCAGTTGATTTCCTGCAATAAACATGATAGGGTACTACAGGTGTTCCTCTTTTTTGAGGAAAGTGACTAGACTTGTGGACAAGCCCTATTCCAGCATAAACTATTCCAACCAGTTCAAACAATCATGGGATTTTCTAGAGGCATCCGAAGCTCTTTTGAAGTTGAAATCCCGTTTCCAAACATTCTAATCAAATTATTATTATTTTTTTGGTTTGCTTATGGAAATGCATTTTATAATATATTTATCCATGCAAATGTAACAAATTTAGAATAATTATTTGCTCTCAAGTGTTGGTGTTCAGGATGCGTATACGATCTTAAAATTATATTCTTTATTTTTAATACATATATAGTTGGTGTACAGGATGCATATATGATCTTAAAGTTATATTTTCTCTCTTTTTTTATTTTTTATTACAAATGTAGTGATGAGAACTTTGATGTTCTACGAGCGCAACAAATTCTTGATGAAGACCATTATGGATTAACTGATGTTAAGGAAAGGATATTGGAATTTATAGCTGTGGGAAAACTCAGGGGAACCTCCCAAGGTTGGTAATGTTCCGTTTCTTCTTTGTTTTTCCCCGAATTTAACATTTTGATTATATTCCTTTATGTTGCTGCATACTATATGTAACATTATATAAAGGATATTAGTAAGTGCATTTTCATTTGTTGTAGGCTCTATAGACTGGCTTTATCGGTGTGTGTTGTTGAATAGTTCGGAGTTTTGTTGGCAACTGTACTTTGAATGAGTCTATCATATAAGACTAGTATAAATTTGTCACCAATTCATTAAATCGTGTTGGCTTTTTAATCTTATTATGCACTGGGGACCAGAGACTTGTCAGGAGAAAATTTTATGTTTGTTTTGGTCTAAACCAGAGAAACTTTTTGGTTTTGTGTCAACTGGCACAAAACCCATACAGGTTCCAAACTGGCAAATTAGTGTGCGTATTTTAAACAGAATGCCATTATTTTGCTTGAAACTGTCTTCTGCTTCCATATATATATATTTTTTCAAAAAAGAAAAGAAAAGAGAGAATTTGAATGATTGAAGGTCTACAATCTCAGGATTCTCAGTGAGATGTTTAAGATCATTGATAGAGGATATGTTTGTGAATGATGGCAATAATTTGGCAATGTTCTGTTGGAAGATAAGTGTTTGACTAATAGCGAGCCAATGGGATGTTTTGTGCCAGGCAGCTTTCTACATCACTAATAATCCAATATCCCGGGAGTGAACCAAGCATATTTCTGTCATTTCATATGCATTATACATGATTGTAAGTCTTGTTTGCAACCGTTGCATAATACCATTGTGTAACAGTAACGGTAGCTCAAGAAACATCACGGTCTGCTATATTGGTCCTAATGAAGCGGAGTTGTAACGGCCATTAAGACATCGTTATGGTCTGTCTGTTGTGGCTCCATTACAACTATCTATGACCATGAATGTTTAAAGGTTTTTCTTTCCATTTTTATTTATTTATTAATATTATTTTAGAATTATTTATTTTATTATCAGATCAGTGAATTAATATACTTTTGGAAATTACATAGAGAAGTTACTTTGTAGACTATATTAACTTGAGCATTAAGTTATTAAAATATTAGTAGTCAAATATTGAACTACATGGGTAACAAGAAAGAAAGTGACAATTAGTAAGTTGTTTAGTTGCAAGTACCCGAGTACTAAATACTAGGTAGCCAAGTGATGGATTCTATATAAAGTATGTAAATATGGATCCTAAGTACCAAATCAAGTGATAAGTCTATATGAGTAATAACTAATATGTAGTAATTAAGTAATAAGTATATAATCACTTGAAAGCCAATAGAAGTACTTATTAATGATTAGTAATGAAGAAATGAGGTATTTCTTACATAAAGCAACTAGAACACCTATATAAAATTTATCAATTATCTTTACTAACATTTGAAATTTAATAAAATCAATCTAGCTTATTTATTTATTTATTTATTTATTTTTGTTGTGGAGGGGGCGTGTCTTCCATGTGTTTTTATTCTTGATATGGATAACATTTTGAGTCGAACTCTAAGATCCTCCTTTGACTTCGTTTTTCCAGTATACTTCCTGTAATTATTTTTTTTTTTTTGATAAGTATACATCCTGTAATTATTTCACTGGCATTTAAGCACATGCTTGAATGAGGCTATTGCAAAATATGCTGTTAAGCCTCATGCATATTTTTTTACTGTATTCACGTATTATATATCTTGTTGCATAAAAAAGTTACATATTAGGGTGAGATTCTCCTTAATATATATTTTCTTTTTTATTAGAGTGGTAGAGTTGAGGGCTCATGTTTTATAGGTATGATAAATTGCATCAACCATTCCTTGTGAGACTTGTGACTAATCCGACCTGCCTTCCTTCATTGTCAGATGTTTCTTCTGAAAGTAGTTGGTGATGTGTACATTTACTATATAATATGCGACAATTAAAATATGTGATATGAAACAAACAGACAAAATCTCAGATGTTTCTTTGATATTTCTTTGGAAAGGGCCTTTGATTGGATAGTCTTGCTTGATCATTTGCATAGGATACACCATATGGCAAATACCGATTACCCCTTATTTAGCAGCCACTTGTCATTGTCGTCGTTGCTTTTATACCATATGAATGGAGTCAGCGACCGAGCTAGAAATTTAGTTTAGTGGGGGAAATGTTAAACAATGTCAAAATAATTTTTTCCCCCAAATAATAAATATGAAAATTTTAATTTTGATTGATAATATTTTTATTCAATACATTTATGATTGTCCACCACCAGTTTTCATGGTTTGAACTTTTGATATATGAAATAATTCTAATAATTGTAAAACTTTCAGTCTTGATTATTTGAAAAACCAATTCACACAAAAAATAGAAATATATAGTTTTTATTTTTATTTTTTTCTTATCCTTCCATTTTGTAACCTAAAATGAAATATCTATTTACAAAATGTGAGATTGTATGGGAAAAGGGTATAAAGAATTTTGCTTATTGACATAGGGTCGATAAATATATTGAAACATGAAAGAAGACTTTTATGATTCTCTCTTCTCGTATTCATTTTGGAGAGAGATTGAGATGGTAAAAGAGAGATAACGATGAATAAAGTGTAGGAGATGAATGTGAGATCTTGGAAAGTGATGTGCAGAAGAGTGTTCATGATTTTTTTTTTTTTTTGGGGCGGGGGAGTGCTTCATGATAGAAAAATAACAACTAATAGAAGGATTCCTTTTTCAAAAAGTTTGGAGTTGGTGAATTTTTATAATTTTAAAAAATTATATATAAAGTTAAATAAAACAAAACATGAGCGAGGCCAATTGCCCACGCTCAACACTATGTTGCTCCGCCACTGAATGGAGTCGACCATATTTGACAAACACTAACATTTACTTTCATCTGATACCTTCTATTTTTCCCCATGGACCCTCGGATCCTTATTTTCTTCTGAAGGTTGCAAAAATGTGCTGCACATTTATGCTAGTTTGAAAAAACAAAAGCACAAGATTCCTGACATTTTCTCTCTAATTAATCACAGGAAAAATCATTTGTCTGTCTGGCCCTCCTGGAGTGGGCAAAACTAGCATTGGTCGTTCAATTGCACGTGCCTTGAACCGTAAGTTCTACCGGTTTTCTGTTGGAGGATTGTCTGATGTTGCTGAAATCAAGGTAGATGAGTACTTTTAAAACTGACTTCAACATTAATAAATACAGCATTGTATTGTGACATTATGCAGATATCGTCTTGCATTGTTAACTTCTGAAGTTGCGTGCAGGGGCATCGTCGAACATATATTGGTGCCATGCCAGGAAAGATGGTGCAATGCCTGAAAAATGTTGAAACAGCAAACCCTCTTGTCCTGATTGATGAGATTGACAAGGTATTATGTTGCTGCTGGCTTTATTGCTGCCACAGCTGAACAATTTTGTCTCTCTGTTACTCTTCTATATTCCCAAATGGGTTGCCTTTGAGAACATCTGTATGCAAGCACATCTAAAGTTCTAATTGGAGCAAGTTTTGTTTACCTTGGATGATAAGTACTTTGAATATTCATGATGACTGATTAGATTCGCGTGCTGAATATTATTATTATTTTATTAATATTTTGATAAGTCGCGTGCTGAATATTATATGTTATGTGGCAGTTGGGAAGGGGACATGCAGGTGATCCAGCAAGTGCTATGTTGGAGCTCCTTGATCCAGAGCAAAATGCAAATTTTCTAGACCACTATCTTGATGTTCCAATTGATTTATCAAAGGTTAGTTATCATTGGTGAGGGTTTCTGTCCATTTCATATTTGTTCTAGATGATGTTCGTGTTTTGCCTTACCAAATGATCTTCAACATTATTTGAGTGGGAGTGGGTTCTGGCTAATTTAGTTCATTCTGTAATACTTGAACAATATATCTGAATTGTACCAAGCTCTATCAAATTGCTCCAAGTTGAAAGAATAATAACTTGCCTTGAGATGTATTTAACATGGAAAAGATCATTCGAAAGCACCCAATCTGCTCTTGTTATGACAATATCGTAGCAAGAGCAATACTTGTGTGTGTAAAAGGCTATGGTTGGAGAACACAGCGCCAATGTAGGGGAGCGACGTGTTAACACGTCATGGTCTAAGCATGGGTATATACCGTAGGACAATACTTGCCTACTCACCGGTGAGTAGGAAGTCTATACTCACCACGTATGTGGCACAAGGCTAAACTAATAAGTGTCCTTACATTTAAAATAATAAAAAACAAATAATTTGATAGCTATTCGGGTTAAACCCAAACAAATTCGAATTAAATTCTAATTCTCTGATAGAGGACTACATGACAAAACTAAGAAACAAAGAACATGTAGTTTTTTAAAAAATGTTTAATTCGTACAACATACAAGCATTTTGATTGGTCATGATGGACAATGATTGATTAAATTTGCAATAATGAAATTTAAGACACTTGCTGAAATTAACCAAGAGAATATATTTATTTACCTCTACACTTCTTGAATGTCTCTTTTCTCCTTTGCATCTACTTTTCTTTTTCTTCTAGTTCTCCAGAGACATGAGTTTCTCTTTTAAAAATATGGGCGCAAGAGAGGGCGAAGGAATGAACAAATGAGATTAGGCTTCCACATGATAGAAGCGTGAGAAAGAGAGGAGGAGGAGAGAATTAGAATTTGATTCGGATTCTTACGGGTTTAACCCGGATAGCTATCAAATTATTTATTATTTTTATTATTTTAAATGTAAGGACACTGGTTAGTTTAGTCTTGCGCTACATACGTGGTGAGTATAGACTTCCTACTCACCGGTGAGTAGGCAAGTATTATCCTATACCATATGCCTGTTGAGTTGGGTTTTGAAATGTGTGGATGTTCTGCTTCTGATTGAATAATGAAAGAAGGTGGAAAAATTCGTATGTTGCCACTGTCAACAGAATGACATTGCATTACTTACACTGTGACAGGTTCCTCATTATTTGATTTCACATTGCAGGTTCTGTTTGTTTGTACAGCAAATGTTGTGGAAACGATTCCCAATCCTTTATTGGATAGAATGGAGATCATTACCATTGCTGGGTATATCACTGATGAAAAAATGCATATTGCCAAAGACTATCTGGATAAAACCACTCGTAAAGATTGTGGGATTAAGTCTGAACAGGTATATCATCTTTATTACTGTGTGTGTGTGTGTGCACATTCACTTGTATAGATCTGGACTCATTGTACAACTGTGTGTGTGTTTGTGTGTGCGCGTACCCTTGTATGTTATCTGGACTTATTGTACACTCCTATCGGTGCACACACATGCAGACACACTTGTATGGAATCTGGACTTAATATATGCCTCTATCAAATATTTGTTTTTCCCCCTTCATCCAACCAAGAGATTGCAGAATCATATCCCATATTTCATTTATTTTGAGTAATGCTTGGTTAGCTACATTAAGTTTTTGCCTTCTCTCCATTCTAGAGTTTTCTCCTCCATATAATACTTCATTTTGTATAATGTTCTTTATGCATTATTGGCGAACATGTTTCCCATTAAAATTGGATTCTACACTCTATTGGTTGGATGAAGGGGGAAAAACAAATATATGATTCTACATGTAAATGATTTTTGATAGTCTTTTTCACTAGTAAGATTTCAAGGTAGAGTTTACAGTTAGACAAGTACTCGGGCAATTCAGTTCTGATGAGTTTGATGTCCCTGTTGTATGACTGCTGTCACTTCACAATTTCCACTTTGTCCTTCCACTTCTAGTGCCTCACCTTTAATTAACACTAGCATTCCACCGTCAAAACCAGAATTTCCACCACCACTGCTACAATCACCACCACCACTGCAAGTGTTACATGCAGCTGCTGTTTTTGCCACTACCAACGACCTGTGATACTCAACCAACCCCGGTACCATTGCCATTGTCATCACAACATCAGTTCTTATGCTACTGCTGTGATGCATTATGCATAACAAGTACATTTGAACCTTGCACTTGCATTACACCTTTGCTGTTGCCACCAACATATTACTTGGACCCTCAGTACCACCAAGCACGCCATATTTCTGGAATTTTCTTCAGTTGGCCAAGCTGTAGTATTGATTTACAGCTTGATTGATGTAAAGTATCATTTGCCTTTACCAATTGTCAACTGGACAATACAGTATGTTAGTCAGCTAAAAGATGAATTATATAACGTATATAGCAAATGTTGTATTCATTATTCTTTTTCTTAATGAATTGTCAGAATTTATGGTAAAATATTAGTCTTTTCCTAGTGAAATCATATTAAATATCATATTGTTAATCTTGGAAAAGATTTTGGTCATTGGCTCTGAACTTTTGTCACAAGTTAACTGGGTATGTGTGTTGACTACTTTTAGATAGGTTTGGAATTCATGTGAAGGTATTTTGTTTGTGTATGCTTTTTCACTATCAATAGGGAGAATTGAAAATCTAAACACTTAACTTGTTTCAGGTTGAAGTGACTGATGCAGCTCTTCTTGCTTTAATTGAAAGTTACTGCCGAGAAGCTGGTGTTAGAAATCTTCAAAAGCAGATTGAGAAGATTTACAGAAAGGTTTGCTTATTTATTGGAGTAAAATTTCAGACAAAATAGGCAACTGTAGGCTACAGTAGTCATTATGACTTGGTGATATGTGGATGCATTTTGGGATTCATAATTTGATACCCTCAGCGATGGTGAAGTGTGTTGCCTTTTCCCTAATACCAATAATATGACTGGCAGGTTGCTCTGCGACTTGTTCGACAAGGAGCATCAAATGAATCTCCATCTGCTGGAGTTCAGGTCGTGGGACCTAATGAAGCCACAACAGAATCTCTTTGTGAATCGAGTGAAACTGTGGTTGGAGGGGATACTCAGGTTGTGGCTGATTCAGTAGACGGTGGCAGTAATGAAATGGCTTCAGAATCCACTGAAGAAGCTGGCACAACCCAGAAGAATCTTCCTGCTGACCAAATCCAATCTCCCTCTGATCAAGCTAGTGAGTCAAAGGTATCTAAGAAGTGAATTATTTTTATGCATTACGGAGCAGTGTTATGAATTCCATGTTTCCGTCATTTAGGATGATCGATATCTCTAACCCTTGCTTTTAGTGTTTGAAGAATGATAGTCTGTCACTACCAGAAAAGGCAGTAACAGCCTGTTGTGCTCCTTTTTCTTTTTTAATGGAGAAAGTGTTTGCATTATTAATGTATTACAGAAAAAGGTTTAGATATTTTCTTTTCTAGAATAACCTGTGCTGTACCTTGAAAGCTCGAATTAGTTCATCTAAAGATAATGCAAGTAATCTCATGTTAAATGTGCCAATCATTGAAGATACCCCAAATAAGCAGGCCAACAAGTGGATTGAATCTTTTCCAGTCTAGATTTTGGCAGATTACCTTCAAAACGAAGGATTGTAATATTCCTTATGTCTGGACGAGATACGTGGGCAATGAGTTAAATAATACTGGGACAGATAAGCTAGGCGAGGCTCCCCTTTGTTATCTCCCAACCTAAATGCTTTATTCAGATATTTTATTTTATTTTTCCAAAGCATAGAAAATCAACTAATATTTAGTAATATGTGTTAGAAAATTGAAAAAAGAATGCCTTGCAATTTGGAGGATCGTGCTTGTCTCATATAAATTAAGCCCATGTTGATAACTAGTTTAGACTTGGTTTTTAATTTTTGAACGTTTTGTGGCTTTCTCCTCAATTAATTTTATTCCTTATTGATTAGTTTAGTGAAATATAATATATACTTGCACAGTTAAGAGCTGTGTTCTCATATGATGTCATAATACAGGATGCTCTAGAAACTGAGAAAATCCAGGAAGGTGAAGCAATCAAGACAGTCGAGAAAGTGTTGGTTGACACTGCAAACCTACCTGATTTTGTTGGCAAACCTGTTTTCCATGCTGAGCGCATATTTGATCAGACACCAGTTGGAGTTGTGATGGGTCTAGCATGGACTGCTATGGGTGGTTCCACCCTATATATAGAGACCGCTTTGGTTGAGGAAGCAGAGGGTAAAGGAGCTCTCCATCTCACTGGACAGCTTGGTGATGTGATGAAGGAAAGTGCCCAGATTGGTCACACAGTTGCCAGAGCAATATTGCTTGAGAAGGAACCAGATAATCCTTTCTTTGCCAATTCCAAACTCCATCTCCATGTCCCTGCTGGGGCCACCCCTAAGGATGGACCTAGTGCTGGTTGCACCATGATCACATCGTTGTTGTCTCTTGCCATGAAAAAGCCTGTCAAGAAGGATCTAGCAATGACTGGGGAAGTAACACTAACAGGAAGAATCCTTCCAATTGGCGGGGTATGCTCAGTTAACGATGTCTCTTTTCATTATGATAAATCCTAACTTCGATTTTTAGCGAACTTTCTTAAATAATTTTTATTTTCGAGAAAACGGATGTCTATTGCCTTTCCTAGTCGGTCATAAATATCATGAATAACTTTTACTCTATTTTTTCCCTTAAATTTTACTTTTTATGTTGTTATGAATATACTTTTGGTGCTTGTGGCAAGTCTTGTTGCATACTTGTTTTCTTATTATCTATTCTCTATTTTTCGGATATGCAGAATGATAGATTAAATTCTTTAGGAAACTGTAAATATTATTAAAAAAAATAAAAAATTATCTCATCTCTTGAAAAAGCAAAAAACTAATCATGGTTGTTATATTGCTTATAAGTTGTCCTGTTTAATTCATGTACATTGTGGTTCACATCAATCGTACTTATATGTGATCTTGTATAAATTCAGGTTAAGGAGAAGACCATAGCAGCAAGGCGGAGTGATGTGAAGACCATTATATTTCCTGCAGCAAACAGAAGAGATTTCGATGAGTTAGCGCCTAATGTGAAGGAAGGGCTTGAGGTTCACTTTGTAGATGATTATGGTCAAATATTTGATTTGGCATTTGGTGACAGCCACTGCACAGAGAAGTAAGCTGCTTTTTGTCCAGCCGTTCTTGCTGGAACTTCATTTTTCTGGACCTTAACTATCTGTTATGTTCCGAAGCAGAGTATGACTGGGCCAAGCAGTTGACCATTCAGCTTCGGTTTTTCCCCATAAGTTCCGAAGCAGAGTAGCACCAAGGACGTCCTTTCATTTTTATGGTTTGGTCCAATATTTGATATAGCTCTCTTTTTAAAGAAAAAATATCCTTGTAAAACGAAAGCTACCCAGTTGTATCAAAGTATTATATTATTCTTTGAGGTGACAAGTCATATATGTTGTGGTGGCTAGAGATGAAAATAAAAATATGTTAGAACAGCAGCTTGAGGCTCGGTTCGTAGACGTGGTTCATGCATTACGGCTATTCCAAGTTCATAATTGTCACAATATGAGCATATTTGTTTCTTCGTTTGTTTTCCTGTTCTTGTAAGCTTACGTTTTCGCTAAATGAAAGTCCCAATTCTTATTTCCTTGAAATGCTGTAATTTTGAAGACGAAGAAAATAACATCATCTTCATGATCTAACCTTCCCTTTCTGAATCAAGTTTTTACCAGTGCTACAGCGGTTGTCATTCAGATAAAACCCAAATGGAGCTTTATGTCGAAGTAATTAACTTCGAAAATTTCACCTTTTGAAGCCAATTCGGCATGCCCCGCACGCGCTGGTGCATGCTGCGTGCGCCATGGCTGCCCCCATGACATGCCATGCTGACAGCAAGGGTTTTTGACAGCTTTATGCTGTTCAATGGCCTTTTCGGATCCTTAGACATTTTTTTTTTGAAAAAACACGAAGGAGGAACTTTCCTTAAAATCAATTTTTCAACCCGACCATGTCGAAAGAAAATTTTAAAACGCGCTGTGAAATGCTTAGAATATCCCTAGATCACTTTAGGCCAAAAACGAAGAAAATGCAACGTTGCATTAAATATATGTGCTCATTTGACCCTAAATGAATTTATAGGTGATGTTAATCCCTAGAGACCACATCTCTTTCATTACTTCCACATTTGGGATCCGTTATCAGGTCAATTTCGGGTTACTTGTTGGTGCACCGGGTTTTGTAAAACTCGGGCCGTCACAGTTGTGGAATGGATTTTTATTCTCAGGAATGGATTTTCATTCCAATGGAATGGTCATTCTCACTCTAAATTGCATACCAAATAAAGGAAATGGTTAGAATGGGTATTCCATTTCATTCCAATCTTGCACACCAAACGTAACATTAGTTTAATGAATGATTTTTTATTTGAAGAAAATTATCTTGGCACGAGAATTGTGTGAATTGTAGAATCATCATGGCTATCTGCTGGTACTACACAAGATAGTATCTTTGAATAATAGTGTAATAATATAAGATGATGAAAATGGTAGTTACTTAAAGATGATAAACAACTAGTTCAGTCTCTTGAGCTTCATAGTGATGTCAATACATTGGGCGGCATTTACCGATGATTACTTTTTCTGTGGTTCCCTGGCTCAATAGATTCTCCTTCAAAACGGCGGTAATACTCTATTCTGTCTAAATTAATGATTCACATTTGAAGGATTTTTTTTTATATGCTTGTTTTAGAACTGATATTGAATATTAAATAACCTTACCATTGTCCAATGGAACAGTGTCTTCTTGATGGAAAAACAATAGGCAGAGCACGATGTTCTATTGGTGCGTCGATGTCCTCCGAAGAAAACACTACTGGTTCAACCAGTGCTATTGGTAGTATGATGGGAGGTGTGGTTGGGGCGATGCTGGTTGAAGAAAGTGTGGTCATTTTTGTCACCGATCATGAAATTTTTTTATTGTATGATTTCAAGCACGTTTTAATTAACACATTACGTCTACACTCTCTGTAAATTCTTGTTTGCAACCTGTTAATGCCACATGTCTTTGTTGCAGGCAAGGGTAACTCCTGAAGTGAAAGTCCATGCTCAGCTTTCAAAGCCTGAAGGAGTTCAGAAGGGTTCCATGCCTTGCACTGCTTGGAAATGCATGACACAGTCGTGTGATTCTTCCAATGGTAAGTTTTCACTACAAGAGAAATTAATACTTGCAAGATGAAAAAAATCTTGTAAATACCTCTTACAAGGTTAACTCATATACGGTAACAAGCCATGCAGTAAATAATAAATTTTAATACCGCATCCAATTAAACCATGTAAATAACCACCTGTCATCTGATTAATAGATTTTTTTACATGTTGTAATAACATTTTATCGGGTTTTTTTACACCCTGTAGAAAGCAACTTTTAAAAAAAAATTCATTTCATCCCAAGCAACAGGCATGTTGCTGTACCTATAAAAGCTTCGTAATAAAACAATTATGCCCCCAAAGACAATTAATCCACACCATTTCATCCTATAATAATTAATAAACCAAAAGCTTATCCGGCCACTATATAAGTCAAAACCATATTTAACTATTCAATCATCAAACAACTCAAATCATTCAAGTATATTACAATTGTTATGAAATCTAGTGGGAGTAGAGAAAGAAAACAAAGAAAAGGCCAAAGATCGATGAATAGGTGTCGAACAACGCAACAAGGACCACAGTACCAACATCTTATTTCCATCATTGACGTCAATCACTTGCTTTACTGCACATTGCACACAATCCTGCACGATAAAAACAAACAGCCCCAGCAACATGGTTTACTAATGATTATAATTTGATTGAAATTGTAACGACTCGAAAAGATACTAAAATAATAATAAAATCTATAAAAATTTCGGCATGACTTCCGCAGAAAATGTCCCTCAACAACCTGTAGAAATACAAAAATAAATGCAATGGCCTCACTGGGCCTTAAATCTAACTTATCATGTCCCAACGCACAATTCAAATATTATACTACATTCCCAAAATAGTTACATACATACAAAAGTCCCGTTCCTCCATCTCATCCAAACATGGAACCCACTTAAGTTACATTAAATTACAATCCATAAAATGTAGCTAGAATTAAAAGCTCATAACTTACAACATTATACTAATTAAACTAAAGTGTCACAAGGTAGTTAATATTACATTTACAAAATATTAGAGTCTAATACAAAAGATAACAAAATAGAATGGGTCTTCAAGCTCATCTAAACCTGTGGTGGACCGTCGTCCGCCACCTCTTTTCCATATCCTGAAAAAATGTTAAAAATAAGGGGTGAGCATAAACTCAGTAGGAAGTGTCTAAGACACACTTCTTATGTCCCCGTGAATCCATACAATGAATAGATAAAAAGTGAACGGGATCATGCCATCGGAAAACACTCATTCTCAACCACAATAACAAGTATATAACAAATATCAACCAATCACAAATTAACCACGATGCCATGAAGTGCAATGTTATGCAAATGTTACTCCCCATTTCCGAAACAATTCCGTTTCAACAACCAAACCGTTAGTGTAGTCCGACCCAAGGCACCTCCATGGCGTCACGAAAGGAAGGTTGGTTAACTATCCACGACCACAAGGCACCTCCAAGGCGTCGCACCCAGCCTAGTTAACTCAACTACATTTCCTTCTAGACTACACCAACATCACGGACCACTAGGCGCCTCCTAGGCGTCCGGTTTTCACAACACTTTTAGAAAATATTTTTCCCAAAACAATTTTTATTTGTTCTAACAATTATTTTTCCCCTTTTCTCTTTCCCAATAGATGCATGAATACTTCATGCTTCAAATCATTAATTTAACTATATATTTTCACACATTTTCATTTACATTATCATCACAATTTAATGAAAATTTCTAAACATTCATTTCCTTTATTTATTTATAACCATAGCATCCATTTTTCTTCAAGACAATAAATAAATAAATAATCATGGAAACATAGAACACATTAAATACTAAGCATGCTCATTTATATGAACTCAAATAACACAAGGAGCACAATTATCATTATAATTACAAAGAACTACAACAATAACAAGCTAAGTAATTAAAATTTAGCATGCTTAGAATCAAATTTAAGGGGAAAAATTCACCAAAGGCCAAGAAATTGTAGATTATAACACCTCTACCTCAAATTGATGAAAACCCCCAATTTGAGCCCAAGAACCCTAGAATTTTGAACTCCTTGGAGTGCACCAAATGATGATTGGTTCCTATCAAATTGACGGCCTCGACGAGCTCAACAATTTTGCTTCACAATGTTCTACCAAATTCCCAAAGGAAAAAGCAAGATCAAGGTTTGAATGGTGAAAGTAAAAAAATAAAACAAATGGTCCAGAGAGAGAACTTGGAAACTGCCGAGAGAGAGCATCTGTAATGGCCTTATGGCCTTTTTGATGTTTTTAATAGTGGTGGGGCCCACTTGTTTTATTTCTTTTTTCTTTTAACCTTAATTATATATATATATACATATATATCACAACATTACAAAAATAGAAGGAAGCTGAAACTCATCTGCCAAAAGTCAAAACAAACGGCCCCCAACAACAGTAGAAAAACACCCATCCCATTAAATAAGCCCCTAGTACACTAACAAACTTTTTGTTCTTAACCTTCGTACTCTTTCTATTTATCATCACAAATCACACACACACACACACACACACACACACACACACACACACATATATATATATATATATATATATGCACTATATATATACACACACAAATACCATAATTAAGCAGTTATCTCTGGAGGTTTTTAATACATTCTTTAACCAGAATAAACATTGGTGCTGATTGCAGGAGCTTCATAAATTACTATATTTACTTTGTAAGAACAAGCGCAGGAACAAGTGCATATACATATTTGCTTGGATGACTTCAACTATGCAAAATAAGATAGACATTAACATTTTCATAAAACTTAAATAACTAGAAAAACATCAATTATGCAAAGTCAAGTCAGAATTTACCTTACATGGTTGAACATGATACCCTCACCACTTTGATTGCACTTAGCAGCTTACCATCTTAGCACATTGCTTGGATGACTTCAAATATGCAAAATAAGATAGATATTAACATTTTCATAAAACTTAAGTAACTAGAAAAACATCAATTATGCAAAGTCAAGTCAGAATTTACCTCTACATGGCTCAACATAATACCCTCAGCACTTTGATTGCAGTTAGCAGCTTGCTGTGATTTTTTTGCTATATTAGCACCTTGCTTGAATGACTTCAAACATGCAAAACAAGATAGATTTTAACAAATTCAAAAAACTTGAGCAATTAGAAAAACCTTCAAATATGCAAAGTAAAGTCAGATTTTACCTCTACATGGCTGAACATAAAACCCTCAGCACTTTGATTGCAGTTAGTAGCTTGCTGTGGTTTTTTTGCTATAGTAGCACCTTGCTTGGATGACTTCAAATATGCAAAACAAAGTATTCATCAACCAATTCGTAAGACTTAAGTAATAAGAAAATTTTCTTCTATAGAAAATAGAAGAAAGTCAATACTTACTTGTACAGGGCTAAACATTATACCCTCAGCAGCATATACTCCCATTATTTTG